ATTGGGCATGCATGCACACGTGCCTGGAGTGCTGCCTGAGATGTTGGGCCTGAGATTCTGATCAGGCAGTTGGCCATATGGGATCCAGTCACCTTAACCATACCATGGGCTATGCTGATATTTTAAAATTCTTACTACAAGTTTTTTAGGGTTTCACTAAAAAAATAAGTAATAATGGTTTATTTATAAAAATAAAAAGTCTAAGCCTCTTTAAGTGCACATTTTAATGTGGCAATCCATATGTGGATTCTCTATCAATAGACATAATTCAGAAATGTTATGTGATGGCACTTCAGTATTGTAATTTCACTCATGTTGAAATCCCATTACCCTTCATATTTCCCACAAATTATCCTCTTCATGAGTTAAGATATTTGGAAAAAAAAGATGGCTTCCCATAAATGTTAGAATAGCTGCTCTCACTGTCCAACTCTCCTGATACAGAACAGCAGTGAATATATATAAAAGGACTGAGATCCTGTTACCTCTGAACCATTCTCCTACAGAAAAATAAAACTGTTGAAAAACTAACGGGCTTGGAAGAGAAATCTTAGTTTGTGAAGACATTTGTTTTTCCCTCTTACAGTCCATGTTCTTTGCCTTCTTTTTGCTTTATGTTTGTTTGTTTGTTTTTAATAATGCTAAGATGACTTTCCAGGGTAAATTAAGGAGACCTGTGACTAAAAGTTTCTATGTAAGTTCATATAGTAAATCCCAAAGTGGGTCAAATTCTAACATGACTCTTTACACAGAAATTTTTCTCACAGCAATGACAATTTTATATCAACTCTTTAGTATGAATTCTAAATGGCAAGTAAGACTTTTCTTTTGGTTAAAGGCTGTTGTTGGTAATTACATTTATTCAGAAGATCTTACCCTAACTTGGGTTCTCTGATGTTAATGGAAATGGACCCACTGGTGAAACGCCTTCCCACTTTCTTGCAGGTGTGAAACTTCCGATGAGTGAAAACTGAGCAGTAGCTGGAGAACTCCTTATACTTACTGCATTCACAGGGATTCTCTCTAATGTGGCTGCTTATGTGTTAATGCCTTCCAACATTCTTTGCACTCAAAGATTTTTTTGAATCAAAACTGGGTCCCAGGGACCAGCAGATCAGGTAACGGATAAATCACTGGACTCCCACGTAGTAGACTGCAGTTCGAGTTCTGGACCTGGTGGCTTAAAACTCATGCTGGGTGTGTGTACATGTGTTTCCAAGATGCCTAGAGGAGTATGGAGGAGAAGGGACTGTGGTGTGTTCACCCCTCAGGGGGTAATTTCTTACTTTCCCTCTGTCTCTGTCTCTATGGTGAGTGCACATGCCCTACAGCAAAAATCTCTCTAGAATAAAAAAAGAAACACAACAACTGGATCTCATTACAAAAGACAAAAGAGGGGCAGTGAGTGAAAGCCTTTCTGCATTCATTGCAATGTCAGGATTCCTCTCAAGTATGGACCTGCTGGTGCTGAGGAGGTGTGACTTACATTTGGAGGTCTTTCCAAACTTGACAGACTTTTATTTTATAGCATCTCCCCAATGTGGATGACAGAGTGCTGAATGAGGTATGTGTGCTGGTGAAAGGCTTCCCCACACTGGGTACATTCATAGGGCTTCTCCTCAGTGTGAATCCACTGGTGCTGCATGAGTTCTGAGCTGCATCTGAAGGCTTTTCAATATTCCACACAATCCCAAGGCTTCTTTTCCAGTGTGGACTGCAGTGTTAAGTGAGGTGTACTCTATTGCTAAAAGTTTTCTCACATTCATTGCACTTGAAGGGTTTTTTACCAGTGTGAGTCCTATTATGGTGAGTGAAAGCAGAGTGGTCAATGAAGGCCTTTTGACACTCAGTGCACTCATAAGGCTTTTCTCCAGTGTGAATCAGATAGTGCTACATGAGGTATGACCTGCGTTTGAAGTCTTTCCCCCACTCCACACACCTTTATGGCTCTCCCCAGTGTGAATGAAGTAGTGCTGAATGAGGTTGGAGCCCTGGCTGAAGGCTTTTCCATAGGCATTGCACTAAGTTCTTCATGCCAGTAGAACTCACTGAAATAGAACAAGATACCACCTCTTGCTGAAACCTTTGCCGCACTGCTTGCATTTGTAAGGGTTCATCCAAGAATGAATCAAAGTGTCTTTCCCTGAGTGTTTGTGAGTCCTGTTCATGGAGAACACTTCCTGGGAAGCCTTGCTTGGAGTGCCTTGGAGTGCAACCTATCATCTGTCACCAAACTACCATCTTCATGGCTCATTTTCTCAGGAGGAGTGTTTCCTTGTGAGGGTCTGTTTCAGGCCTCACTTGGCATTTTTAAAATTTCCAAAACCCCTTCCTGGTCCCTAGATTTCCCTAATTTGGAGCTCCACTAAGATTTCTGAGTCAGGCTTTCCTGGAGCAAGGCTCCGTCAAATAAGACTAACAGACAAATGGTTGGCCCTCTGGGCTGAAGTTGTACTCTGTTGCCTGCACAGGTGGAATTTGAGAGGTCTCTCTTCACTATCCACAGCTCTTGCCTGTGCTCCAGCAGGTGGATCAACTCTGGTTTGGGAACCCAATGGCTTAATGAGACCAGGAGCCCGCAGGTCTCCATCATCACCTCCTTGTACAGGGTTCTCCAGGCCAGGTTCAGCTGTCTCCACTCCTCCTGAGTAAAGGTCACCAACACCTGAGAACGGCCACATACTTGTGCCATGTCCATCAACACTGTTGCCATTGGATGCAGAGGAACTGGCAGGCCCCTCCATTTCTGTTGCCATTGGATGCAGAGGAACTGGCAGACCCCTCCATTTCTATTTCAGTAAAATCTCTGTTAACTGGCATCACAATGATTCTGCAGAAGGGTTTCTTTTTAAGTTTTTCTCCCATGTCAGAGAACAACATAATCCTCTCAGTCTTCATAAAGATACATGTACACAAGTTGATTATTCCTTGCTGTTAGTCTTATTGACACTGCCTAATCATATTGAGGCCTGTCCCCCTCCCTTCAGGCCATTTGTATTAGGAGCATTTGGCAGGGCGCACTTTTCCGATGGCTTGGTCTCATACAAATGGGCAAATACGATATTACTTGGAGCCCTTTTCTATTCATGTCATGCTGTTTGGTCCCTTTAAAGTCAAACATATTGAGAGTCTTCCAAAAGGCTCCCTCTCCTTGCCTTTGGTGTAAACTGACCCTTCCATTCAGCTGGTCCTCACATCATCAAAGGCTTCAAACCTTATCACGGATTTACCTGGGTTTATGGAGTTTATCTATTCCATCTTAAGACACATTACTTGGCTACCTCTGACTTACTTTAAGAGACTCCCTCGCATTTTCTTTGAAACTGATGCTGATGCCACCATTCACAAATAGCTAGCAGAGGCAGAAAGGGGCTATCTTAGGATGATGTTAAGATTCAGGGGAAGACTCCCACCCCCAGTCTCTCCAAAGAAAAATAGACCCCCGTCACCCGCCACCCAGGATCTGCAATCTGCGTGCCTACGAGGTCCAGTGCCCATTCAGACTTGGCAATCAGTGATGGCAGCAAAGGCATCAATGTTGAAAGCTCCCCACGTGTGGTATTCTCATCCAGTATATGCAAAATACTGGCAACATTATTAGCAAGCAATGGCTTGGATGCGAAGCCGCCAGGTCCCCTGCAGAAAGACCGTGGAGTCGTTATTTCTCTTCTCCGTGTTACTTGGCTTTCAGGTCTCGTCAGCATGCATAGGGCAGCAGCAGGATCCAGATGTCTATAGTAGAAAACCAAGCTTTGCCCAAAGAAGGAGAGGCAGAAAGTGAGTCAGATGAGGAGGTAGA